TCTCTCACCTCTCTTCCTCACTCTTTATCTCTATCTCGACTTTAATCTCAACCGGTTGGAATATGGCTCTCCCTGGGCTGCCTCCCCGTGCTCTCTGTGCATCTCTGATGCGCTCTCAGCAGCCAGCATAAGTGCATTTGAGCGAAACGAGTTTGACGGCAGAGGCGCAGATGCTGCCTGCATATTACCAAGTTCTATGGAAATACAGCTTGAATAACTGAAAAGATTCCCCTTCTCGCAGCATTTTCCAGCTTAAAGCACGTTTTCCTGGTCTTAACCGAAAATCGTGGCATTGATAAAACTTTTCACTGGGCGCCACAATTTCCACTTATTATACGAAAAGTTATAGATTATATCAGACAGCAGGCAACTTTTAATGCTGTAACGCAAAATATTTGTATGTAAATATTATATTGAATATTCCGGTACACACGCAAGTGTCAGTAGGTACTTGTCAAAGTAGCAGAACTTTTAACAACAATATAAACGCACCCAATTCCGACGTTTAGAGCTTAGACGGAGCAACGCAATTCCGGCACCTTTGGGGCTGGATGACATTGTTGTGGCACTGGCATGCTCTGGCTCGGGCTTCTTTTTTTCACACCAACTTTTATAATCAGCTCAAGTTTGTAAAGCTTTTGTGGTAATTTGTTCGGATTTCTCGTAAATTTCATTCGTTTTGCCAAATATAATAAGTGAAAATGAAATATGGCACCTCCTGGCCAACAACTTGCTGCCAAGTTTCGGGGCTAATGGCCGACAAAGTTGACGCTGCTGGCATTCGTGACAGCCACCAGCATGGCCCCGAATGCCTCAACAAGCACACTGAGACATCTATATCCGACCAATTTGACAGCTCCTCAAGGCGAATTGCTTGCGAGCAGTCGAAGCAAGTTGCCCAATGCCAGCTGCAGGAAGTGCATGCGCCCTGCAAATTGTGTGCACTCGAAAGGCTTTGATTGCCACTGCGGGCCTGTGCCCTAGGTTAATTAGAGGCAGCCTCTACACAACTACCTACCAAGGGGATCAATACTTTAAGACTAATTGTGTGTGTTTTGCATTTGCCGTTAAATAAATCACCAATAACATGCAAAC